CACAGAGAAGCCCCTAGACGGCTATAGGGGTCCCCTAAGGCCCCAACAGAGGAGCAACTCAAGAAACTACTCTAACCACAGTGGAAAGAACACCCTGCAGGTGCCATGGCAGGCATCATGGTAGACACAGCACAGCCAGAAAGCCACTATCCACCATCCAGGCAAACATGACACTGACCTAGAACAGGCTGGTAGAAGTGGGGCTGAGATGTGCCAAGCAGGCAGGATTGGTGAACTGTGTTGGAGGTGGTGGCAGAGGCAATTCACAAGGAATGCTGGATCATGCAAATGTCTTGTCTTGAACTGGGACAAGGGAAAGGAGGCAGGACAGTAGGTGGGAGAGTTTAAGGGCAGGAACCTAACAGAGACAGGGATCATCGGGGCCAGAGTAGATGCATGCATGCATGTCCTACCCCATCTCTGAAGGGGTAGGACAAGAGCTCTGAATCTGGCCCAAAGCACAGAGGGCTTGGAATCAGCCTTCACATACAGGCAGAATAGGGCTCAGAAAAACATCCTGAGCTCAGGGGTCTCATAATGAAGCCAGAAGGTGACCAAGAAGACTCAGCAGAGAGAGACAAGATCTGCCACAGGGAAGCCAAGAGTGTCAGCTCTATCCTTTGAGGTCACTCCTGCCTGGATCCAGAGTAAAGAGCAGAGGCTGGGCACCGACCCAGCCCTCACAAAGACACCATCAGCTGAGACCTGTCCAAGGTTTCTTTGTTTATTCCACCCTGTTCTTCCAGAGACCCCACCATGGAACAATAGCAAATGGCCCTAAAAACTAAGCTTTTATTTATTTGTTTGTTCGTTTGTTTGTTTTTTATGAAAGCCCAAAGAGCCCCATGAGAAATGCTCTAAGGAAAGAGACCATGAGCCATCCCAGGGGGACAAAGACTAACTGGTCAGCACTTCAGAAAAAGTAGAGAGACACCTATCAGGAAAACAGAGAACACTCAGCCATCATGATTCTCAGGGCTGAACTCAGGGAAGGTCATGTCCGATGCATCTGGCTATGTAAACTGAAAGAGCCAGGTCATTGTTTGACCTAAAATCCTCCACCAGGAGGATTAGCCTGGTTAGGAGCCAACAGGGGCCTTGGGAATTAGAAGCAAGTGTTATGCCCAGTTCATGAGACCCCCCAAAAGACCACCAGGAATCGACTCTGCTGCAAAACACATGAGGATCTTTTATTACAAGCTCTAGCCTGGTCGAAAAACTTCCTGTGGAAGCAGGAGAGGAATGTGGCACTGCAGTCTAGGGGAACAAGGTTTTTAAAGGGAAAAAAAGCAATCGGGGAAGTCCAAGCCTTGGCATTACAGGATTGGGTAAGAGGGTCTTTAGGGAACTTGACTTTTAAAATAATAGGTCTGTTTTAGGCACCAAGGCCACAGTGGTCCAGTCGGCTATCTGGGGGATATCTTATCATGAGCAGTGCCTGGAATGTCCTGTTACGGTGCTGATTAGGCAGGACTATCGGGTGCGGGGACTGCTGCTGGCTCTCTGGTCTGGTTGCTAAGCAGCGGTATCTCCCAGGTCTGAAAAAGGAATGTGGTCTGGTGATTTCACCTCAGCCCCAGGAATTAACTCTAAGTTTTTTAACCTCTCACAAGGTTAGGCACCAGACTCTGATTTCCTTCTGGGGCTGACCACAGGTCTCTCCCATGCGTAGGCAGGATTCATTCTTAATTAAAGAAAACATTTCCCTGGGTTGTTCTTGTATGAACAGAGCTGCCTGGCATGGACAGAAAAGCATGCTCACAGCATCAGAACATCTTACACATGAAGTCTTAGTTCTGAGCTAGAGCTAAGCAGACCATGTTTCCCTGCAGTCTGGCAGAAACTGGCAGGCACTACACCAGGAGTTCTTGGGTGAGGCTGTGCAGGCTCCCTGAGCACTCTCTGCTCTCCCACAGCTCATGTTCTCTCTCTGCCTCTCATCCTCCCCTACTTCCCTTCCCTGAGGCTTTATGGAGAAGGAACAGCTGGTCCTTAGGTGGTCAGAGTCAGGAAAATGGCAGACACCTAGAAAATTAGAGTTCAGACATCAAAGAGCAAATTTCCTCCAACCCCAAAGGCAACCTAAGGTGCCTTTCCCTCACACCTCTATCATGGACTCTAGATGCCTTTCTCACTTCTCCACAGTGCATAACCCCCTCCCCCCACACCCCATCTCCCCTTGTCCCACACCCTTCCTTAATTACCACAATTTCTGAGGTTAAATGACACTTCTGGCCTCAAGGAACTCTGTCTGCACCCTGGATCTTTTCATTTTGGAGATTCATCAGAATGTTCCCAGCACTCAAGAAATTTACCAAGCACAGAAGAGAAGGTAAAACACTATGCTCCAAAAAATATGAGCACGGGGGTCTTTCCTGAGACTCATACTCCAACCAAGTACCATGCATGGAGATGACCTAGAACCCCTGCACAGATATAGCTCATGGCAGTTCAGTGTCTAAGTGGGTTCCATAGTAATGGGAACAGGGACTGCCTCTGATATGAACTGATTGGCCTGCTCTTTGATCACCTCCCCCTGAGAGGGGAGCAGCCTTATCAGGCCACAGAGGAAGACAATGCATCCACTCCTGATGAGATCTGATAGACTAGGATCAGAAAGAAGGAGAGGAAGACCTCCCCTATTAGTGGATTTGGGTAGAGGCATTCGTGGAGAAGGAGGAGGAAAGGTGGGATTAGGAGGGGAGGAGGGAGGGGTTTATGGGGGGGATATAAAGTGAATAAAGTGTAATTAATAAAAATTAAAAAAAAAGAATGAACTGAAAAAAAAAAAAAAAACCAAAACACTATGCTCTACTTTGCACACTGTTGGAGAATATTCTAGGTGTCTCGCAAATACACAAAGAATTGAAACCAACCTATTAAGGGAACTCCTTTTGCAAAACTGTGTTCCACCCTACAAACTAGTAAACAAGCACACTAGGCAAGATGTTTACTGGTTCTGTGGTAACAAAGGTCATGAATGTGCCTTATCCCATTGGTGGGAGCTGGACCTCAGAAGTGATGTGGTTGGCTAATTCATAAATGCTGAGAAATGGAAGAGTGTGATAAGAAATCAAGTCTCAGGAGCATCCAGGGCTTGGCAGACCACACACAGGGAGGCTTATAGAATATTACCCATTGGTAGTTTATCCACCTTTGATAGAGAGAGAGAAAAGAAATTGGCCAGTGGTGATGCCCCAGCCATGCTGCCACTGAGGGTCATGTTCAGTCCTTGGCCCTGAAGCAGCAGGGATCTATGACAATGTCCATGACCCATGTTACCACCAAAGGCTACGTACACATCCCTGGTCTTGGCTATATCCTGGGACCATGTTGACGTCTGAGGGCTGCTCAGAGCTCACCCTGCCCCTCCCCAGATCCAGCACTCAGGGGAGCGGTCCCTGGTGGGGAGGAGGGAGAGCTGCCCTGGCAGCATGAGCATGGGAAGGCTGGCCTTGTCCCTCTCCAGAGCAGTGCTGGAGAGCTGAGTGTTACACAGCTCAGCTACCACCTGGGCCCAGATCCAGGGCTTTGAGTTGGCCCACCACATCTATCTCATGTATGAACTGCTCGGGTGCATGAGGGGCTGTTCCTGCAGATTCAAACTACAGCATCTCCATGACACAGAGCAACAACAGGATATCTGAGAAAAGTCCCTGTGAGAATCTAGTATTGATAGAAGCGCAGTGGAAGCCAGAAACCTTGAACCAAATCAATGACTCACTGCAATGAACACTGGCAAGATGTGTGAACAAAAGGTACAATGAGAGAAACACACTATCACACACTACAGATTCCATAATAAGATGCTTTTGGGGTTTGGTTTTATTCCCCCCTTTTTTCTCACTTTAAGAAGGAGGTTGCATGCATGCCCCTCACCAAGTCCACTGATAGGGGAGGTTCTCCTCTCCTTTCTGATCTTAGACTATCAGTTCTCATCAAAAGTGGCTGCATTGTCCTCTTCTGTGGCCTGGTAGGATGGGGAAGGGAGGAGGGAGGGGCTTATGGGGGGATAAAAAATGAATAAAGTGTAATTAATAAAAACTAAAAAAATTAAAATGGGACAAAAAAAGAGGGAGGTTGCAGGGGCAAAGGAAGATATGGAGGGAGAGGGAGATGAGAGGGATTGGGGTGCATGGTATAAAATTCACAAAGAATTAATAAAAAGTTAAATATATATATATATATACATATATATATATATATTCTGGTCAGGTATAATGACAGGCAGAAGGGTTCCAGGACACCCAGTAGCAAAATCTAGGCTAGCCAAAGATACATAGGAATCCTACCCCCCACACAAACACACACACAAAATCAAGGACACAAAGGACTTCAGGGCCCAGAAACCATTTTGAAACAAGATAAAGGAGGTTTTAAAAAGAATTAAGAACATCAGAGTTAAGTGTGGTGGAATAATTGTCATCCTGGCACTCCAGAGATATTGGCACGAGGAACAGGAGTTCAAGGCCATCCTGAGCCACATAATAAGGCTGAAATCAGCTGGAGTACTACAGATGCTGTGCCAATAAAAAACAAGAAACAATACACAATCCCTACCCCCCCCCCAAAAAAAAGAAATATTTGAAGCTGGGAACAGAATCAAATCCCAACACAAAGGAAAAACAAGTAAAAATCCCTTTATGATGGAAATTTTAAATGAAAACTACAGTATAAAAATAATAAGGTCACCCAACCCTCAGTAAGTTCAGTCAGTATGTATCTCTAAGATAGAGTCAGACAAGGAATGCACCTCAGTGGCAGCATGCCCAGGAATGGATCACTAGCTATTCCCAAATAAACAAAAAATGAGCAGGGTCGATGGGCACAGGGAACTGACCTGCCCTGAGTGGGCTGAACAGGAGCTAGGCACCTCTGTAGCCCACAGGCTGACTCTCCCTGCCCTACTGCCTACCTGAGGGCCCTGGCCCTCTGTCGAAGCTCCCAGCAGAGGAAGGGACAAGCCTGAGTGAGGATGCACAGGTAACTGCGTGACAGAGTTTTGCCCACGTTCTGAAGTCTGTGTCTACCATATCACTGAATACAAGGAGCTTAGGCACACAGGGGGAGCTGAAGGTGGTTGATACTCCAGGGACGGACCCAAGTGTGTGGCTAGCCAAGTGGCGCTGGGCCTGCTGGACTCTGTGGTGGGGTGGAGGGTGACACTTAGCAATGTCTCTCAAATCCTTCCAGTTCCAACCCAGCCTCATGTGCCCTGGCTATAGGCCTGGCCTCTCCAGTGGGAACGCAGCTATCAGTTCCTGATTGCCTGATGGTTCTTGGGCACAGCTACATATCTCAGCTTCTTCATGATGGATGGCCAGCCCATCAGCTGCTGGTCCCACATGTACTCTGGGGACAGCACTTTTGTAGGCTTATGGTAGAGCAGGTACTTGTTCAAATGGCTCTCGTCATGCCACACAGCCTCAATGCCATTGGCCTTGTCCTCCACCATAGCCTCATGGCAGGCCTTGGTGAGATGGTGCACCTCTACCACTGACCCCCCAAAGAAGGCCCCCATGTAGTAAAAGTCTCCCTCATCCCAGGGGATGTAAGCCTGGGACTTTGGCCGGCGCTCATAGGTAAAAGCTCCCCTGTTGCTATTGTAGAAGCCAGGATGCAGGGTGCCAAAGAGCGCTGAGAGAATCTCCACGCCCACGTGGTCACGGAACTTCATGTCCACATCTGCACAGACCAGGTAATCCACCTCATGCAGAAAGCGCTGCTCTGAGAAATGGCTGATCATCTCCATCCGATGCATGGACACATCCTGCCAGCGGCTGTAATTGCGCACAGTTAGCACAACCAGACGCCGTCCTGTCCCCAGGTGCACCTGTGGAACATCACCTGGCCGGTCAGTGAAGACATAGTAGGTGACCTTGTGTCCCACCATGAAGTGCTGCTCTGCCGTCTCCAGAAACAGCTTCAGGAATACCACATACCTGGGAGGGAGGACAAAGAGGTATAAACTAAACTTACCAAGACAGAGGCCCAGGCTACAGAATCCATGGCTACCTGGAGGCTTGATCCCCCAACTTTACAGTTCTCCTGACCAGTCCACAGACTGTACCTCACTTCACCCTCCTTTGCAGCAGAAGGATGCAACATCAGCACCCCATCTTAGCAAGGAACACTGAGGTAGAATCCTGGGATGCTTTCAGCCAGGGAGCAGGCTGACTCCAGACCTGGAGTTCCAGGCAGATCCCCTGAAGGTATCTCTTGTCTTGGCGACTCCTCAGCAGGCCACCTGCCCATGGGTTTGTCATCCTCCCTTTAATAATGACAGCTCCATCCCAAGACATTCCACACCTTGAACCCTTGCACTGGCCTGAATAGAGCCTGGGCTCCTAAGGCCACACTTTCTCAACCCTGGTGGAACTAGGTGGATCCTCAAGGGCCTGGTATCTGTGTGCCCACTTTGGACACTCTCCAGGGCTGTCTCAGGAAAGCAAAGGGTCTCTGTATCCTAGACCTTCCTCCTCAGAGGCTAGAAGGTGCCTGTGGACAAGGGACTCAGTAACTCTCTTAGGTCCCTAAGAGTCATCTCCTGTGAACTCCACCAGAGCAAGAACCGGTCTCACCTGAAGTGTATGCTGAGGGTTACAAATGACACCTCACTGAGAGCACAAAGGACGCTGGCCTGGGGCTTTGGGAGGAGGCAGAGCTGGGTTCATTCACCTGTGAGCCCACCAGAGCTCAGGAAGGTGCCACAAGCCCCACCCCCACTGTATCCTAAACACAACCATGGAGCTTGTTATGCCTACACCTCCACCTTGACCCTTGTGCGTGCATATGTGTGTGTGTGTGTGTGTGTGTGTGTGTGTGTGCACGTTGTATATACTCATGTTTGCGTGCCTGTGTGCATGTGTGAAGGCCAGAAGTTGGCTTTGGGTGTCTTCTTCCGTTACTCACCTTTTAGTTCTTCAGACAGGGCTCCTTCATTGACTCTGAAGCTCAGTTTTGCTAGCCTGTCCAACAAGCTGCCTGGATCCACTCATTTCTCTCCTCTACTTGTTTTGACTACAGTCGAATGCCACCATGCCCAGATGGATGGTAGGGATCACACTCAGATCCTCAGGCCCTGAAGCAAGTGCTTACCCACTAACCATCGCTCCAGCCCCACTGCTTACTTTTTGATGGCAAACACAGTCAGTCCAATCGTGGTATTCTGAAGCCTGAACTGCTCATTCAGTATGTCAATATTGAAGGTTCCCTCCCAGATGATGGGAGCCAGCCAAGGAGTCAAGACAAGAACGTCTTTCCTACTGCATGGAGAGAGAGCCAGGGGCGACATGTGACCAAAGGTGCCTGCAGGAGCCCTTCTCAGATTCCACACCCTCAGCTTCCCCCAGGGATGATCATGAGGACCTGGGCCAATCAGAAGCAGCTCTCATTGACTACACCCCAGCCATAAAAGCAATTGTGTTTATTACCACCACAACCACCATGTCCCAAATCCATAGTGACAGGAACAGGAGACAAGGAGTGGAAGCCCAAGTGAGAAAGGAGACAGAGAAGATGCTCTGGGGCTCCACATCTGAATCAGACAGCCCTGAGAATGTGAAAGGGTAGGTAAATTGAGGCCAATGAGGATTATTCAGGTCTTTGTGTTCCTCTGAGTTTAGTTCTTCCCAGTGTTGGAGACTGACATGGAGCCTCAGGTGTGCTGCTCACTCTTCCCCCAGGACAATAATTTGGTACCTTTTGTGCCTTTAGGACTCTTGCGCTGCCCAGGCGGTGACCTAATCTACTCACCTGGGTGTTAGCACCTTTGGCTGGGGATAGGTCATCCTGGAAAAGAAAACAGCAGAACTCAAGTTGACAGGACGGTCATTTGGATGCATGTCACTGCCAGCCAAGCCACCCTGCCTGCCCATGAGCCTGGGACCCAAGGAGGAAGATCACATTCTAACTTTACATTGGTGGACACCCTTAAGCCTGGGATATCTAAACTAGTCTAAGGACTACTTTAAATCACAAGCTTCATGAGACTGAACATGTCTACAGATGACCACCAGCCCACCTGCGCCTGCAGCCTGCTTTGTTTCTCTCCTGGCTGGTGGCACACGGAATCTTGGCTTTCTATCTGTTAGAGACCAGCCCCAACATGTGGGGTAAAGTGCTTCCCACAAAGCCTGGAGCAATGTTCAGCAGTGGGCTGTCCCCACAAAGGATGGCAAGCCCCAAGGGACAAGAACCATTTCTGCTAGTAAGCTGTGCGCCCTACAAAGACTTGTAAAGCAGAGAGCAGGGCTTGTAGAACAACTGGATTCAGTTCCCAGAACCCACATGGAGACACACAACAGTCCATAACTCCAGTTCCAGGGGATGTAAGGCTCTTTTCAGGCCTTGTAGGCAGGCACAAGTGTGGTATACATGCAGGCAAACACTCACACAGCACAGCCCTCTGAAGAGCCAGTCATCAAAGTTGTGACTGCCTCCCCACACAAATGAGGGTGGAGCAGAGTGCTCTGCACAGTGGAAAACTAAGACAAGAGGGAGCTTGTGGGAACAAAAAGCAGCTGGGAGACTGTATAATCTAGTGGGAAGCACAGCACAAAGACCAAGCCCAGAGCCCCAGCTCAAAGGCATGCATGGCTGGTGAGGGCACACAGAGGGGCAGGCTGCTGGAAAGGGTCAACAGGCAGGATCCAGTCTCGGAGCACCTCCTACCTCCTGTTCTGAAGGATCATTAGCTATTGTAAGCAAAGTAGAGTTGAGACAGAAAGACAAGCATGTTGCTGATACAAGCCCATAGCAGGCTCAGGAAAACAGAGCAAAGCCAGGAAATGCCTTCCCGAAAGGCAGCCTGACAGGATGTGGGGACAGTGGGGATGGAGGGGCCTCCAACTTGGGTCTGGTTGTAGAAGGCAAAAGACCTTGCACTCAGCAGGCTGCTGGGAGCTGTGGGGGGAACAGAAGCTGTTCGTGGGGCTGCCCAGGCAGGAACAAAAGGGAGAATAAGGCTGAAGGCAGAGAAGAACACACATGTCCATTAAAGATAGCAAAAGGCCAGTGAAAACTGCTCTTGGCAGCCTAAAGAAAGCCTAGAGCCATCCATGTAGAGAGGTATAGGCAGAGGTCACAAGGCAGCATGCAGCAGAAAGTTTATCCAGCCAGTATCCCATTTCCCCACACATGGATCTCACACACACACACACACACACACACACACACACACACACACACACACACACACACGTCAATGCCCACTCACCTAGTCACAGCTCCTGAGTCCTCCAGTTCCTGGCTTCTGAGGCTCAGGAAGTGGTAGCTATGGGAAGGACAGGCATAGTGGCAGCTGTTCAGGACACAGATGTGAGACCAGCAGTCTGACCCTCCCTCCAAATGCACTACTATACCCAGCATAGTGAGCACAGAAGTTCCCAGTGAAGATGTAAGGCCAAGTGACAGGACTAAGCATTGGAAGAAAAGGTGGCAAGAGGAAGGGCCCTGGAAACAAGGCCCTCCTCTGGACACCTGCAGCACTTGTGGACAGCCCCTACTCTGGGCCAGGTCCTATAAGCCAAGGCCACATCAGGACCTATTTCCTGATGTCTCTATAGAAGCCCCAGTAGACATGGCAGTGTCTCTCCTCTGTGGGGATTCACAGACCATCCACACAGAGAAAGGGCTGAACTCCAGGCTCCAGGCCTGACTTCTCTCCTTCCCCAGGCCCACCCTCACAGCCAGAGCCAAATGAATGGGCATCCAGCCCCAGATCCCTTCTGTGGAATCAGAGGCTTCACTATGTGGGCAAGCCAAAGCCGGACATGCCACTGTGGGTGCCGAACTATGAGCACCTTTATCAGTACTGTTCTAGTAGCAATGTGCACAGCTCAGGGTCCCCATCGGGGTCTCAACTGTCACTCACCAGTCTGGAATCTTACCTAAAGAAGACTAAGACAAGCACCAGGAGGGGAAGGATTCCAAGGTGAATCGAGTAGCAATTTGGTCTTCCTGAAAAACAGCAGCACAGGATCCAGTTACTCTGCCCTTCTCAGGCCTGACACCCCTCCAGGCCTCTCCTGAGAGTCAGAGGTCATCCTGTGCCCTGCAGCCACCACTCCATCTCAGCCAGCCCCAATCCTGGCTGGAGCTCCAGCCCCACTGCGCACTCAGAGGGGAGAGAAGGTTATTCCCTTCCAGCTCATGACTCCAGTGGCTCTCTAGGCCCTCACGGTCTCCTTGGGTGCCCATGTCCTCGGGTCACTGAAAACTGCCTCCCATGGTAAACTGCAATAACCAAAATGAATACCTTGGGCTCTCTGCTGGCTCCATTTCAGGAGGCTAGGTCCAGCTTTCCCCCGGCCCCTGTACGCGTATCTCCACAGGGACAGCAACTGGTCTTTTCTAGTGAATTTTTCTCATGCCGGGGTTGAAATGCAAGGCTGATTTGTACCAAGGTAAGTGTTCCACCACTGAGCTACGCCCCTAATAGCTCAGATGATTTTTGTGTCTGTAGAAGTTATGTAAAACATGACTTAACTCATAATCAAGACCAGATAGTCTTAAAAGACATATATCTAAATTAGAGAAAGAGCTCAGTGGGTCCAAGCTTTTGCCACAGCCACACAAGCATCAGGACTTCAGTTCAAATCCCTAGAGCCTATGTAAAAGCAAGACATCTGTAACCCCAGCACTCCTGTGATGAGATAGGAGGGGAAGCCCACAGGGCAGGTGGCCTGGCATACACAGTGAAGGCCAAGAAAAGAGACCCAGTCTCAACAAGGTGAAAGGCAAGGGGGACACCCACTGTTGTCCTCTGACCCTCACAGGCACACTTACACTCAGAGGATCTTTTTTAAGGCTCATACCTAAAAAGGCTTACCTCTCCCTGTTCCAGCCAGTTACTTTCCCTTTTCAACTGCCTGATGTGATACTTTGGTTTTTTGTTTTTGTTTTTGTTTTGTTTTTTTTACATTTTATTTGTTTATTTAGTTATATGTGTGTACATCTGTGCATGCCACAGAGCACAAGAGGAGGTCACAGGACAACCTTCAGGGTTCTCTCCTGCTATGATGTGGGGTCTGGGGATTGAACTCTGATCACCAAGGACCTTTACCCACTGAGCCATCTCATTTGTCACTTCTTATGTTTTCTCTCCATGTCTCCAAATCCTCCCAACAATGGAACAACTTATTTCTAAACAATGAGAAAACAAACAGTGAGAAAATGACATTTGAACTTTATTTTCTTTTTTGTTTTTATTTTTGGTTTGGTTTGGGTTTTAGTGTTTTGTTTTGTTTTGTTTTGTTTTTGAGACAGCATTTCTATGTGTAGCCCTAGCTGTTTTGGAACTTCTTCTGTAGACGAGGCTGGCCTCAAGCTCAGAGATCCACCTGCCTCTGTCTCCCAAGTACTAGAATTAAAGACATAAGACACCACCACCCAGATTAAAAAATAAGTAAATAAATAAATAACTTCTTTTCGGTATAATTTATATCTAAAATGTGTTCATTTTAGATAGAGTTTGATAAACTTTGAACAAGGAACGCCCTCCCCTTGCTTTCTATGCTCTCACAAGTCCCTCCTCATCTACATAGGAAGCACAAAACACTTGTACCCTCGTGTTTGGCTGCTTACACAGCACGATGCTGTGGAGATTCACCACAGGGTATTGTGTGAATTCTTGGGGGATCTCTGGGGTTTGCTGGCTTCCAGCCTAACTGAGCAAACTGAGCCTCAGGGTCAGAAAGAAACCCTACCTCAAAGGAATAGGTAAGGAGAGAAAAAGGAGGACATCTGATACCCTCTTCTGGCCTTTGTATTGGCATTCATGCGCGCATGCGCGCGCGCACACACACACACACACACACACACACACACACACACACACACACAC